ATCCTCATATTTGAACATTCAATATCAATATATTTTCCACATATTGTGAATATAACGCTGAGTCCTGCCTGACAGCACATTCCCATGAGTGTGCAGAGAGGGAGAAACACGCAAACACCGTGACGAGACAAGAGCACGGGCAGTGTGATGTTACTTCACCTCTAGATGGCACTATTGCACAACCTACAACCTTCTGCATCGTTTCACTGGAATGGATGACAAGTACAGTGCAAAAACAATAACAGGAACAAACTGAGTGCGATATGATATACATATTTATGCCAAAAAAAAATGCCCGTTTGATCTTGTGTTTCCATGTAGGAACAGGGAAAAATGTCTATATTGTGTTGTCTGGTTCACCTCGGCAGAGTTCTATGGCTTTGGCAGGAGGGTTGAGAGGAAACAGAAAGGGCCTTTACCGCCTGCACCTGGCATGTTTGTGATGAAGCAGCTGCCTCTACTCCTGCTGAGCCTCCTCCCTGTACCTCTGAACCCGAGTGAGCAGAGAGCACCGACGGTCATGCACACACACAGATACTGTACACTTCAACAGACACTGGAGACATTTCAGACATGGGTTACAGTATTTACAGAAGACACTGACTTGATCGCATGCACTTGATAATAGGGGTGTTTCTGACCCCTGGGGGGGAGTCAGTGCAGGAGTTCAGAGCTGTCCTCGGTGGGAGAGGAACCGTCAAATTATTCAGTGCTGTGAGAATGTTTGTTCATCGCCTTAGAGAGTTTGTTTTGCCTCCGAATTATTTAAGAGTGGCACGATTTGACTTCTATCTCTGTAGTCATAAAATATAGTCTTCATTATGGTGAGTACTTGAGTCAGTGAGTCAGTGACATGTTTTTCTTCCACACAAGTTGGGTTCTAGCCTTGAAGCTGCATTTAATGTGCACATGATTACATTTTTCTTATTCTGTCTATTCTGCAGCCAAGGGGCTGCAACTTAAAACTGTTATTAGTATCAATTAATTTGCAGATTTTTTTCTTCAAGCGGTCAGAAGGTGTGATCTAAAACTGTCATGTCCAGGGAAATTTCCCAGGATCAAACAGATACAGAGAGCATTATGCATCTTTAAAGAACAGAAATAAAGATCTAGTTATCTAAAACAAGAGTACGAGTGGACTCTTTTAGTTACTTTTGCTGTGAAAAGTAATTAAAATCAATAAGGATTTTTTAAAAATAGTTTATAAATCAGAAGATTTATAAATCAGCGGACTCTTTACAGTTTTGGTTCTGCAGATTATCCAGTCATGTGTGACTGGATTAAGATTAAAATAATGCAAGCTACTTTCAGCTGCTCCCTTAATCACAAGGTGTCACTGCAGCAGGTAGCTCTACATGTTCGATTTGTCAGTTTTTCCATAATGGATGCTCCTCCTGACGCAGCCCTGAAGGGACTCAAACCTCCTCCTGGGATCAAACCTGAAAGTTTTTGTTTAGAAGGCAAATAATGCATAAAGCGCTACACTGTGGAGCCACCCAGATTTAAGTTAATACAGCTGAAAAATCTAAGTGTACCTTGTTAATTTTGAAAAACCCTTTGATATTAAATAATATATACCACATTTATGATGATACTAAACTTTTAAATTTGGGTTTTAGAACTGCTCAGCAATTTTTCACAGCATTAAGAAATCTTTAAATTGATGTGGGGTGATTAAAAGGACAAGAAAAACAAAACAAAAAACACCCAAAATTCAAATGAAAAAAATCCACCCTGAAACACTTTATCACTCTCTTGGTGGTGACTTGTCTTTGGTTGGTTGTATTCTTCCTAAACGAGTTATGATGACGATGCCACATGATGGTGTCACAGATGTATTTCCAGATCATAAAATCTTGGTTAAATAAGTATTTAAAACAGTGATATGTTAGGGTTATGTAGCAGTCCCTTGTCATCAAAGAGTAGCAAAAGACATGGTGCTGGAACTCTGACATGAAGCCTGAATGCTTCAACGCCACAAGACATTTTACTTTTAGATTAAAAGGCAAGATTCAAGTTTTCTCAGCTGGAAAAACGTCTCGCCACTCTGATTCTACCATTATCCTCGCTATTTCCACCTACACATTATGACACAGTTGAATGCAATGGATTCACACCTGTATACCACACACACACACACACACACACACACAGTACCTAGAGCATTGGAGGGTGGATTTTTTTTCTGTAAATAGGACTTTTTCTTCGCACTCTGCACACTGTTCACCCAACAGTGTCCAGGAAGAGGAAAAAATAACATATTTCCCAATGTTCTCTGTTCTTTCAAAAGACAAGCCCGGAGTTACCATATAACATTTCAGATGCTTGACTGATTGGCTTCTAGGGCTGATGAACTGATGCCAGCACCTACTAGCCCCCAGAGAGAGTAGTTAGATGGAGTGCTGGAGTATTATAACGTGAGAGAAGCTGTGGCCTGTACAGATCCTCCTGCTTCAGTGGTGGCAAGCTTTGCCATCATCTTTTCTCAGGAGCTCTAATAAGAGGGCAAATATTTCCTTCCTTCCTTTCTCTCCTGGGAGCCAGACTGCAGCCCTGATAGCTCGTGAGTCTTCTGGTGGGTGACAGATCAGCAGAAGTGCATCACTTTCGGCTGCTGGAAAAGCGAACAGCTCTTAACTCCTGCATCGTTGTCGGATTTTTTATTTATTTTTTATTACACCAAGGAAACAGAGACAACAGTATGTTATGTGTAATGTCAGCCCTTGAGTGTCCCTGTCAGAGTAAAGGGGGAGGAGTCCTGCGCGACTCCTCATGCTGGCTTCATGGTTTTATTGGACGTCGGGTGGAGACGTGGCCCTCGTTCAAAAACACTAAAAACAATTTTAAAAACAGATTTCGTTGATTATTTCGAGCGTTGCTCCTTGCAGTTCTTTTCCAATCAACAGGGACACGACCTCACCCACTGGCATGCACATGCAGGCTGGCTTGTTTCCAGCTCACAGTGGGCACAGCTACTCCATGCCATTCCTCAGCATCTGATTGGCTGCGATGAGCATGACACTGATGATGAATGCCATGGCAAAGGCGCAGATGAGGCTCTTCCTCACGCACGTCTGACGGTTCTTCTTTGAGGGGTGAACTGAAAGAGATGTGAGAAGCGGACAAACACAAATGAAGGACATAAATAAAAAATAAGCAGATTTAAATGATGGTACCACTTTTGCTTCTAATAAGACTCTGGATAAATCATTTATTGTGCCCAGACAACGATAATGAAGAAAAACAGAGGGCTCACTGACACGCATCAGACTTTCAATGGTTTATTTTGCTGTGAAGTGTTACTTTTTCAGCTCATTGGTCAACACTTCTCTCCCAGGAAAGATTAATGCCATTCAAAGCTGAATAGTATTACAAAGTGCCCTAAGATGCTTAAAATGTAAGTCTTGCTCTGTTGTCTTTTTTGTGGTTTGGTGTCGAGGATAAGAACTCAGCTTGGACCAAGAGCAAAGGATGGTCCCACGTGGAAAGAGTCCGGATTATTAGAGGGCAGATGTTGAATTCTGGGGCTTGGAGGAAAAAGATCTGAATATGAGCACACCCACGCACAAGAAGCATTCAGGATATTGGCTTTTCCTTCTTTTTTTCATCTTCCTCGCTGGTCGCCTTGCCTCCGTTCCTTTCTTCCTCATTTCCTACCTCATTCCTTCCACTCCTGGTTTGCTACGTGTCCCTCCCTTTCTCACTTCCTTGTTTCCTAACCATCTTCATCTTTTCCTCATATCCGTACCATCTTCATCAGCTAACAAACAAAAGATTTCCCGGCTCAACCCCAGAAGGACACACAAATCCTTTGTGGGTTGCATGAATATTTAATTTGGAAAAATCTGCCAAATCAAATATGTGGTGACTCCTGAATAAGAGAGCAGCCAATGGTAGCTTCTTCATCTCTCTCTCCATCCCTTCCTTCCTTCCGATCTTCTTCCCTTCTTTGTTTCCTTCCCTTCTTTCTTGAAGCCTTTCTTCTTTAAATTTTTTTACATCTTCGTCCATTCCTTCCGAGTATCTTTGTGAGCTTCCTTGTTTTTGTGCCCTCTCCCTTCCCTTCATTCCCATCTCTAGCATTAATTTCCTTCCTGTCTCCCCACCTTCCACATTTCCTTCCCAGCTTCCTCCGTTAACTTATAACTTATTAACAAACCTACTTCGAATTGGGTTCAGCACATAAATATAATTTATTGTGAAATGTTTTACTATAGCCGAGAACAAAAGAAATAACCCTGAGGTGTGATCTCCCATAAGCCATGACAAGGAGAATTATTGCTCTGGATCCCAGCTGAAAGAAGCAACAGAGAGGCCCACTAAGCCACAACTCAGCGGTCCAGACATCACAGCAACAGCCAAATTTCACAAAACAGAGCCCAATTAGTCTAGCGGCTTTAAAGTGATAGGAGAATCTTTAAGCTAAAGATTGGATTATTTAAATAAATAGCATGTATTCTAACATTTCCTTTTAACTCTGTCAAACAGGCTCGCTGTACCCCGTTATATATTAACTCTTTTCCTGAAGCACCTTTAAATAACTCCTTTACATGACATATTCAGATAAAACCAGCAGAAACGGGTCAGTAAAACCCAAAGAAAAGTACAGAACATGGACTGGAGGAGAAAAACAGATTTTTAAAAAAAAGTATTTTTAATGATTTCACCTATTGTGCAGCTTATCAGAGGGGAGTTTCAGAGCTCGGGGGCTCAGACTGAAAAACCCACCCAGTCACCTTTAGTCAGGAACACCAGATTCATGGCTAATATAGTCTAATACATGCAAAAAAAATCCTAATTACCTTCTCAAAGGTAATAATTTTCTTTTCTTTCTTTCTTTTTAATTGAAACTGTCTGAAAGGTAGCAATTCGACTCTTGAGCCATTTGAAAGCTGCAGTTTGTGCTGTTTTTTAACCGCATCACACTGAGAGGAAGTTTTAATATTTTTTCTACTCATTCACATAAACAGGAAGGAAGAGTATTATTGTATAATAATGAGCAGTGAGGGGGTATAATGTGTTTGGGGGAGATTTCTGTATTTCATCGAAAAACCTCAAACTCAGGATGTTAAAATCTTGTCTCCATAAACCCTGAGTTTAGACTAAAGGACAGGATGCTGAACTGAAGGTCATGAAATGGGATTTCAAACTGACACACATTTTCACAACAGCAGGCCAGGCTTTTACTTCTGGCTCGATCAATTTCTTTCCCTGACCAGTTATTTAGCAGCTCATCCTCCCTGCAGTGAGTGAAATGATTTTCCGGGCCACAGTAATTAGGGAGGCTGAGCCAAAGACCTGCAGACACACGGCACTATTCTTAACTTTCACACAAAAAAGTCATCAAAAATGCTTCTTGAGTGCTGCTCCAAAGAAAATGTGGAATGTGGGACAGAAAAGGCTGCATCATTTTTGGCTGAGGTGGTTTCATTACTTGGCAATTTTGAGCTGAATAATTATTTTCCAGGCTTTCAAATTTATATAAAACTTGTCATTTTATCCACATCTTAGACCACAAACTGAAATGCCAAGGTTACATAACCCAACACTGGGTGAGTGAAGAGTCTAAATGTGGTTTGCTCCTTGTACACAAACAATTTAGGGTAGTTTTCTAAGAACAGATCTTTTGGCTGCTTCTTTTGAGGAACAGCATGCTGACACCGACAGTTACTCACATTCACAGTGTCATCTGTTAGACATTTGTGTCACATAGATGGAAATTAAGGAGCTGGTAGAGAAATCACTCTCCGCTCAGTATTACCCTCCATAAACCTGTTTCCCTAAATCTTAATCTACTGCTGACACAACATGAAAGTCTTCATCTGTTACAAAACAGCGCTGCTGGCAGGTGAAATGATCTTTAATTGTTTTGCAGTTTCAGTGGAGAGGTGCACCATGAGTCTTCAGACAGCTAAATCTTCCTGTTTCCCATTTTTTCACGACTTCCACCATCTCTCTAAGCTACTATTTCTTAAAGACATTTTGGACAGTGGAAATTGCAAGCTGGAAGTGCTTTTAAATCTTTTTCATAGCCTTCCCCGGCTTTGTAGTCATAAATTTGCTTTCTTTAAGTTCTTCTTCTTCAGAGGAGGAGCCTGTGATTGTTGAATGTTACCACAACGTCTGAAGGCAGTTTATCCCCAACCAGCTCCAAACAAGTCAATTAAATCTTATGGCGTTAATAGAGTTCAAGGACTTTACACGTCACAATTTTTGTTAAATCAGTTTCGTTTAAAGTCTTGCTTAAACAAAATCTGCCCAATCTTTCACATACATCTCTGAGGATGAGCTAGCAGGGTGTAAATGGAAAGAACATGTGTTCAGCTGCTGGACTGAAGATGGGAGGAGAGTTGTGGTCTAGACAATCGTTCTAAGTCCAGTCAACTGAATCCAATGTCGGCCTCATAAAACACCTCTGAAGCCGCCCAGCCTAATGATACAACTGCCAAATATCCACAGAGGACTTTCTCCGGGCCACTGTGGTCTCAAGGTAATAAAGTGCTCGGTGGCTTAGTGGCTGCTGACTAATGCATTCATCCTTCTGTCCTTATCCAGCGGGGTAACTTTAGCTGACATCCATACTGTGTTGGTTTAATTTATGACACTTCCACTTGTTACTGTTGTGATGCTGATTTCCAAACTGCTATTAAAAGACAATCAAAGAGCATTTGCAGACTATGATGCAGTGATTCTGTATTTGTTTTTATTTGTTCAGCTACTAGCAACATTTCTTCTTGTTCAGTACTGAGAAGAATCAAAATACATTGACTCCTAAAGGAAACTAAATGTGTGCTTGACTGCTTGTAAACACCATGCATTTTTAATTAAGAAGGTTTAAGAAATATTGAAAAGGTAATAGATTCCCAACCTCATGGCTACAAAAGAACGGTGGTGCAAAAGTATGATTTGTCACAATAAATATTATAAACATATTTGTCACAAATTAAATATGAGCAGGTCAGGCTGTAGGCTGCAGTTTAAGAGTTGAGGTTTAATAAAGCACACAAAATGCTTTAATAATAATGGATTGCATTTATATAGCGCTTTTCTGGACCCCTCAAAGCGCTTTACAATACCACTATTCATTCACTCTCACACACTGCTACAGTTGTAGCCACAGCTGGCCTGGGGCGCACTGACAGAGGCGAGGCTGCCATATGGCGCCATCAGCCCCTCTGGCCATCACCAGTAGGCGGTAGGTGAAGTGTCTTGCCCAAGGACACAACGACAGAGACTGTCCGAGCCGGGGGCTCAAACCGGCAACCTTCCGATTACAAGACGAACAGCCAACTCTTGAGCCACGATCGCCCTGAAGCCTTTAGCAGAATCTGTGGTGCAAAATGGTGATAAAGGCATTAAAAAAGGAAAGCGAGTTAAAAGAGAGTTTTGAGGGCTAAACTGGGAATTGCTGCGTAATTTAGTTGCTTTTTAGTTGAACCTGTTAAATGTGTTCCAGGGGGATTTTTCTTTTATGCTGAAAGCAGCAACAACAACACTGATATTTTGAAAAAGTTAGAAATCACACCTTACATAGCGCAAGTGCACAAACTAACCAGCGTATGCAATATAGAGATTCAATCTATATGCCCTTAAATCTCCACACCTGTGAGGCAGCTGTGACATTCATGGATCGCAGTTGATTTCCACACTTGCAAGTGGCACTCTGTGGATGGCTGCTGCAGCTCCAGCATGTTTCTCCGCACTTTATGCTATTGGTGCAATTTGTTCAGCAATGAATCAGCGTCTGGTGAACTTCTGTGGATCAGTGGTTACATTTTTTTCCAGTTGTTTTTCAGCCTCCCACCATATTGATCCAGAACGAGGAAAAGCCAGAGGGAAATCAACTGCCTCTTGTGCTACCTCATATATCAGAAAGCTGAAGTAATAAGCACAAGTGTAGCATGATGAATCGTATTCAGTATGAATCACACCATGACTTGATGTATCGATTTCTCCATGACTGAGCACTTTTTTGGTGTCCCTGTGTGGCAGGTGGTACTTGAAGACCTTGGGCTCAATAGATTCTGCAGTGGGCAGCCTTAATCATAAACCTAGTAGGGTCATCATGTTGTCATCACTCTACACCAGTTTTAAGAGCTTGATAAAGTGCTTGTGCAATCTTTGTCCATTCTCAGTGACACCAGTGTTGGCCTAGTAAATCCCTTTTTTATTCACAGGCACGTGTGTTTGTGAGAGACATTAAAGTCTCTTTTGCTTCTGAGAGTCATTTTGGTCCACAGAAGAAATATAAACGGCCGTGGCTACAAAGACAAATCTCAACACATTGGAGTTTCATTCACACAGTATTAACCAAAGAGACTGATAAGCACAGACTCACTGCATAACGAAGCAGGCTGGGACGCTGCTTTAGGACATGTAGAAGCTGCTGGTGTTATGACTCAGATTTCTGTGCTTCTAAAAGTCATGTTTCTGGTGTTGAAACACAATAGATGCCATTTTTTAATCTGCTTTCAAAACACACATGGAATCAATTAATTTGCACATGCTAAAATGTAACAAGGCTGAATAGACACATGAGTTTAGGTGAGAAACTGGGAAAAAAATTCAAAAACATAACTTTTTATGTGCAGTTTTGAAGAGGCTGAAGCTTTTTTAAGTGTGGAGCAGAAGATAAATACATTCTAGTAACAAAGTTTGCTTGAACATATCTCTCGCTTGCAGAGCATCTGTTCAGTTACAGCCAAACAGATGATTATTAACACGATCCCCCCCACATACATGCTCAGAACTGCCTGGCCTGAATGCCGAGTGCTGTGACAAAACACTGCCAAGTTTCATTTCATTTCAAACTGCAAATGTTTTATGCAAATTGAGTCACTTTGTGGTCTGTTTAAAATATATTTCTCTCAGCACCCAAAGCAGAGATGACTGAAAGGGATGATTCATCAAATCTGACTCCAAACCTGGCATTTAAAAAACATTTTAAATGGTTTTGAAAGGAACAATTGCATTTCCTGTTTTTATGATAAGAGTGAAAGTCTTATAATACGCTCTGCTGCTCTGATATCCATGAATCTTGGATGGATCTTGGATAGTTCTGCAGAGTGAATTCATGTATATTTCATCTGTGCCGCTTCTAAACAGGTGACCAGCTGACACCAGTTCCCACGAAAGCCCCCAAATTAATAAATCAGCAGGTGTGCTGTGACTGTGTTGGCTTTAGATCTCGATGAGACAGATCAAATTCTTTCTGACAGAATGGATTACTTTCTCTGTCTCTACCTACACACGACTAGCCCAACACACACACACGCCGGCATATATATATATATATATATATCTTCGTGCCTATGTGCAAAGCCAGCTCAGGGAATTCAGCTCACCTCCCTCAAACTCTGTCTGACAGTTGCCAGAGTTTTCCTTTAGGCTTTCTTCCTCATTGATGATGATGTTCTCAATGTCCTTCATGGTGAGGTGGTCACGGAAGGCGCAGAACAGGATGTGTTTCAGCTCCTCCAGGGTGATTCTCTGCATGTCGAACTGAGGGAGAAAGAGATGAGGAGGAGATTTTTAAAAAGAAAGAGACCATTTTCCCTTCACATAAATAAGCTTGCCGTACGTGCCTGGCAGGGTAGTGTGTGACACAATCCTTCCACTAGGAGTTCCACTAGACTGCAAACCTCAATAAAACATTACAAATACAGTCTCTATCGCCCTAAGCTGTGGAGTACAAAAAATAAAAAAATAAATCTGAGTAGATTTTTGCTTTGGGCGACTTACAATAAGTGATGTTCCCTGTAAGAAAGGACAAAAAGTTCAAATGAATAAATCACTCTTCATGTTCCAGTACGTCCCTGTACATCTTACAGATGTCACTCCTATACATTTACTTTAATCTGAGCATTGCGTAACGCTGATGCATTGATTAAATTGAATGAGGTAAAGTTATGTTCAAAGAGTGGCTGATTTATGGTTCTGTTTGAGTGTTTACAGACACACCCACTTTTAAACCAGAGGTGTCTGAAGGTCAGATCAAGAAGATCTTGCTGGCGAGTGATGCTTTGCTGGAAAGCAGTGCTTTACTTAGGAGCAGTAGGATAATTTAATTTACTTTTTATTCTGCAACAAGAAAAGCTTCAGAGCCGGACTATGATACAAACCTGACTAATAATGAAATCACAAAGAGCAGTGAGTCCCGAGCCAGTTGCGAGGACAGCAAGTTCCTCTGAATTCGTCTAAATGCTTGTATAAACTCACTGATATTTACTTTCAACAAAGGCAACGTATATTGTTCCTATATTGATGTTGTGTCCATTGTGCACACTGTAGGAATAAAAATTTGGTAACACTTTTAGTTTATAGAGCTACAGAAAAGAATTAATGGATTAAGAAAGTCATGGTAAAAGCAAAATGCATCTGCTTTCAATTCCCAGGCTTCATGTATCAGGATATTACAAAATTATTCTGGTCTTAAATTTTGGTAAGTGCAGCATCAGATTAACAACAGATAACATATTACACCATGTCATTAAGTATTAAGTATATCCTTACTGCCTCCATGGGAATTAAGACATGAGTAGCTGCCAGATGCTGCTAATCAAATTCGCTTTAATTAACTGATCATCAGCAAGTGTGATCACCTCTATAAAAGCAGATATTTTAGCAGTTTGCAGGTTTGGTGGATTCAGGTGTGTGCCATTATTTAAGAGCACTGAGTTACAGTCGTTCAGTCTTAGTTATGCTTGATCTCACCACTGCCTTTCGACACTCTTGATTATGATATTTTAATCCAAAGCCTTCATAACTGCTTTTCATCATATCTAAGGACCAGAACATTTTATGTTTCAATTCAATTCAATTATTATTTTTAGATCTGCAAAAATAAAAAATTGAGGGGTTTCGCAAGGGTCAATTCTTGGTCTGCTACTCTTTAAACTTTACACACTCGTACTTTGTACTATCATAAAGAAATCATAATATATCTTACCATTCTTATGCAGAGGATATTTATCTGTATCAATCTATAAAATGCACATTATATGCATAGATTTTTTTGTCAGTGTACTATTTTATGTAGAAGAGTGTAAGCTCTCTACTCTGAAGGAGTACTCTGTTTTGATGGTCTCTCTGTAGCTCTGCAGAAACCAGAAATATTTGTTGCTGTTCCAAAAATGCGTTCATATTTCCCCCCCCCCACACACACACACACACACACACTTCAAAACATACTGAAAGTTTGAAAATTCTCATCTCAAACTGGGAAAATGGTCCACGCATTCATTTCAAACAGGTTAGACTACTTTACTCAGTGGTTATCACATTTGCTGCTGTTGTCAAATACCATGGCCTTGAACACGTCAGGTGGTTAGGCCTTTTCTCTGTTATCTGTATTACACACTCACCGCGGTACCCAGGACATGCATGGATGGGAACTGCCCCAGTATGACCCTGAAGTTGATAAGCTGTGTAACAACAGCTGAGCCAAATCAGTGGAGCATAAAAAGCTACGACAGGCAGAAGCACAAGGAGATCTAGGAAGTCAACGTTAACGGGACACAAGCTCTGTCTTCATTAAAATAGTAGCAATAACAACAATGATAACAGTGAAATAATTACAAAAGTTCCACTGTTATCTTTATAAACCCAAAAAATTAAGCAGAAAACTCTGTTATATTAAACCAACCAAATATTTAAAAAAACGTAATTAACATAAACAATTAATAACAAAATCCCCCCACAAAATAATTTCATTTTGCCTGCTCTGTGGCCTCATATGTGTTAGTATGGAGTGCACAAATTCAAACTGTGACACTAGTGCAGTAAAATGACCAAATATGACACATCAATTTGTAATAAACATATAATCTTTTTAGATACGGAATCATGTCTCATCAAGTCTCATGAGCTGAATGAGTGTTAATCCTGGTCTCCTGTTTTTATTTGAATTTATGAGACCGAACAGTGCAGAGGGATAGACAGGAAAGTGGGGAGAGAGTGAATGACCTCGGGCTACAGCAGTCCCCGATCTGTCTTCTTTAATGCAGACCTGCTAGTGAAGAGAGAGTGAAGTATGTGTGTGAGGAAACAATAAGGTTCAAATACCTGGTGATATCAAAAATATGCAATCAACAATGATCCCATTCTTTTAGCAAAAACAGGAAATAAGATGATGGAAAATACAACATCAATAAGCATTTACATAAAAAAGAAATGTAAATGCTTATTCACATTTTTGATGATCATAAAAGGCTCTCACTGAACATGTTGTTTTTGAAACTTTGTGAACGAGGTGAGAAACACCACATCTCTCTCTGCTATACAAATACAGTTTTTATTATTAACATAATTATTAGTATAAACAGAAAGGTTTCCATTCTGGTTCAGTCAAGCAACTCCAGAGAGCTTCTTCACAGACCATATATATATATCTACATCTATCTATGTATCTTTCTATTCATTCATATAGAGTTTATATGATTTACTAAATTTATCCAGCTTCTCAACACATTTGATCTCAGTTTACAAACACCAAATCCAGATTGTGTTTGGTGCACTCGGTGATATTATGATGAATGACACTCGTCCAGAGAGTGAAGGATAACATTCACTGGACTTTCTGGCAAGCCCACTGCATAAATCACACTTGGACACTTACCATCGATGAGATTTGTTATCGCTCAGCCTTCTCAGAGTGAGCTAATGAACACTTGCACCAATCACACCTCAAATGTTAATCAGCCTTCATGAAGATTCATTATCAGAGGTATTTAAAATTTTGGGTCAATGTTTCGTCTTTTGTTTGCCGGCTCATTAATCAAAGGTGAACGTAAATGTAAATGTTGGCAAGACAAAAGTAAAATAAAGTTATGCAACAATAGACTAATAAATCACATACATTGTGAAATGTAATTTAAAAGCAGGTACAGTTAATCCAGTGGAAATGTAAATATAACAGTGACAGAAAACATAAACCCATAAAAAGAAGGTACAGTTACTAAATATTTCCCCTGAAACCACCAGTACAACTAAAGGTTTATACCAATACAACAACTGATACTTCAATATTCTTCAGTTATTTGATTTTCTTCATTTTACTGCATTTTTGTGAAAAGACAGAAGGAGCAACACGATGCATCACCTGGTTGAACAGGTGACCCATGCTGTGCAGGCTTTAGTCCTTAGTGCTGCACCGCAGGTTCGAGGTTGCTCCAGGTGCTTTTCTATGTGCCATTCCCCCTCACATACAACCCATCTGCCTTTCTACTCTATACTGTGTAAAAAAAAAAAAAAACTGATAAAAAAAAATAAAATCATAAAATGTATCAATCATTTAAAAGAATAACACAGTAAGCAGAAAAAACTATGATGACCACTGAAACTCAAACACTGACTCCTTGTTGACCACCAAACTCAAAGTATTCTACATTAGTATTGAACATACTTTTCAGATAATAAAGAGCCCCACAGTTCAGTATTGACAAACATAAACAAACACAAACTTTTTGTGAGACTAAATAGAGTATGGCATTAGTTTAGGCAGGAAACAAAGTCGAGCTCAGCCCATAATCCCAGCCGTTCAGCTAATACTCTTCCAAGCAACCAACTAGCGAATCTCAAACAGAGCCATGCATCTGCAAGCCTCTTCACAACCCATCATTCTCCTTTGTATGTGTTAGACTTGATCATTTTCATGCGCCTGCTCTCTTCAGGACACTGCTGCTGCTGTGGTCCTAACTGGAAAGCTCATACAGCAACAATCTCACATCAGCCACCATGTACAGCAGCATAAAAAGATGTTTTGCCTCCTGTTTCAGAAATGGATGCGATGTTTCACAGACTGCTGAGCTCTGTTTATTTCTCCTCGCATCTCCCTCTGGAAAACAGAGAGAGGATCTGTACTAAACAGACAGATCTACCTGGAGTGCCCCTGCAGCATCTGCCACTTAAAGTTACTGCCAACTTTTGTGTTACTTCCCCCCCAAAGGAAAAGGTCGGCAGCCTAATTGTGTTTACCCAACCTTTATGCGGCCTCGCTTCCCAATAAAGACGGCATCGCTGGCACCCATCAAGAGACTGGCAGAACTTCATTTGCCAAGAAAAAGAGGGATGAGCCAGAGGATAGCTCTATTCACAGAGCACTACAGTAGAAGATAAGAAAAAGCCATTTTATTTTCATTTCCCATATCCCACAGACTTTCTCAACCTACATTCACATTCAAGCATGGACTGACCTTTATGGAGAATATGGTGAAAGAAAGGGGAGTCGAAAAGAATTACACACCTGAACCTAAAGTGACTCCCACAGAAAAGACCTTTAGTAGGACACCCAGTGGTTTGTGACCTACAGCTTCATACTGGAGCCCACGCTGGAAACCTTCAGTCTTCTTTGTTACACATTCTCCTAAGAAGTTCAGTCTGAAGTGCAATCACATGCCTCAGGCACAGAGAACTTTAATGGAGACTTTGGAGAAGTTGGAAATGTCACATACTGTTAAGGTCTGCTGTGGTCAAAGCTCAGAAGGAGCCTTGTATTGAAATGA